TCATATGGAAAAAACCCAAAGGAAAAAAGGGACCCCGATAATCAAAAAAAAGGCAATTCTGCAACCAAACAAAAAAAAAAAAAAAAAAAAACAGGAAGGCATTAAACTATGTGCCAAAAAGAGATTTCCAATAAAAAAACTTATACTTACAAAAAAGCTGCTAGCTAATTAAAATCAAATAAGGATTCGCAAACAAAAAAATAGGAATTAATGACCAAAAGTTGGAAAAAAAAAAAACAAGAATCTGAGAAGCCTGATAAAGAAAAAAAAAAAACCATTCCTTCATAAAAAAAAAAAAGGCCAAAATCTAAATCTTTGAATTAAGCAACAAAAGAAAAAACAAACAACGCTGGGGAAAAAAAGAAAAATCCTTTTTTTCAAAATTTTAAATTGGTTTTTTTTTTTTTTGCTTGGAAAAACTTGGATTTTTTTTAAGCCACCCAGTAGAAGGGCTCAAAAAAAAGTAACCAGGGAAAACCCCCACACCTTGTTCCACCTTGTTACCAAAAAAAAATCAAACTTCACGCTTGGATAAAAACAGACTAAACCTAAGAGAAACTAGTAGAAAAAAAGTCTAAGAAGGGAAAAAAGTTTGGACCAAAAAAAACCACTCTCCTAAGAACAAAATCAGCAAAGTCTAGGCAAAAAAAAAAGAGTAAAGAAGTTATGAAAGAAAGTCCCCAAACGGCAATCCCACAGCAAGTAAAGGGCCAAAAAAACCAAAATAAAATAAAAAAAAAAAATTGGGGGAAACATTGATTTCCCCAAAAAAAAACTTAACCCCCCAAGCTTTTGTCTGCCCCACAAAAGGCCCCCAAAAAAAAAGGAAATTTTTAGTCATTGAAAAAGTAAAAAGGGGGCCCCAAACCCTACAAGCAAATTGGGAAAACGCCGGAAAGATTTTTTGGAAAATTTCGGCATTCGAATTTAAGGGAAAATGATAAAAAAGACTTTAGAATATTACACTGAGAACTCCCCCACCAAAAAAAAAATCCAGGAGAAAGAAAAAAAAAAATCAAAAAATTTTAAAAAAAAACCCCCCTTAAAAAAACAGGTGGGGGGGCCCAAAAGGGGATTGGGGACCAAGAAAAAATGTTAAAGGGAAGAAAAGGAAAGAATGAAAAGAAGGAGGGGGGGGGAAAAAATGGTCAATTTTCGGGAAAAAATCCTTAAAAATTCTGTTTTAAAACCCCCCCCCCCCTATTTAATATGCCGAAAATAAAAAAAAAAAAAAAAAAAAAAAGGTTATGTGTTAAAAAAAGAAAAAAAGGGACCAAGAGGAACAATGGGCCCAACAAAATGATGAAGAAATCTCAAACATCTCGAATCATCAGGGAAATGCAATCAAAACCCAACAATTGAGTATCACTTAACTTCCAGTGAGAATGGGCCTTTATCAAAAAGACTCCAAACAATGAAATGCTGGGGTGGTGCGGAGAGAGAGGAACACTCCTACACTGCTGGTGGGACTGCAAACTAGTGCAACCCTGTGGAAGCGAATATGGAGATACCTTAAAAGCATACAAGTGGATCTACCGATTTGATCAGCATCCCATTGCTGGGCATCTACCCAAATAGATCCAATCGACACTCTACAAAAAAGGACACCTGCACCGAAGGTTTGAGAGCAGCACAGTTCATAATTGCAAGGCTGTTGAAAACAGCCCAAGTGCCCATCAATCCAACCCCAGAAGGGATAAGAAAAAGTTGGCTTAGAGTGATAGGTAGGAGCAGTACCTGGGCAGCTCGACAAAGAAGAACATAACGCCACATCGTATTCGGGTAGATGGAAAACCCGAGGTACTATGAGAAGTGTCCCCAAGAAGAAAAACACGAGTATCTCCGATATATCGCCAGCAAGAGGGTATTAAATGAACAGCACCTCAGTGGTCACTGAGGTAACTACAGTAAGCGAGGGTGCAGGGGGGCAGGGAGGGGAGGGGCGAGCTTATAACATTATAAATGAAGTTGAGACCCTCGCTCCGCTACGCATCGGGGGAGGTGAGGAGTGCGGAGACTCAGACGTGTCTGGGGGAGTGGAGGGGAAATGGGCATTTATGAAACCGTTAAAATCTTACCCCCCATAATATGCCGAAATAAAATAAAATAAAATAAAATAAATAAAACAAAAAGTTGGTTCTTTGAAAAAATAAACAAAATTGACACACCTTTGGCTAGACTAATGAAAAGTAGAAAACAAAAATCTCTAATAAGCTCCATTAGGAACAATAAAGGAGAAATTACAACGGATGCCATGGAGATACAAGATATAATTTATGAATACTACAAAAACCTCTATGCACACAGTGTGGAAAATGTGGAGAAAATGGACAATTTCTTAGAAACACACAGCCTCCCTAGCCTCAACCAGGAAGAAATAGAAGTCTTGAACAGACCAATATCAAGTACTGAAATTTAAACAGCAATAAAAAACCTTCCTAAAAAGAAAAGTCCTGGACCAGGTGGTTTCACACCCAAATTTTACCACATCTACAAAAAAGAACTGGTACCTATCCTGCAGAAATTATTCCACAACATTGAGAAGGATGGAATTCTCCCCAACACATTTTACGAAGCGAACATAACCCTGATACCAAAACCAAGAAAGCATGCAACAAAAAAAGAAAACTACAGACCAGTATCTCTTATGAATATGGATGCAAAAATTCTCAACAAAATCCTAGCCAATCGAATCCAGGTGCTTGTCAAGAAAATAATCTATCACAACCAAGTGGGCTTCATCCCAGGGATGCAGGGATGGTTCAACATATGCAAATCTATAAATGTAATTCACTATATAAACAGAAGCAAAAACAAAAACTATTCAATCCTCTCAATAGACACAGAGAAAGCATTTGACAAAATTCAACACCCTTTTATGATAAGACTGCTCAACAAAATAGGCATAGAAGGGACATACCTAAAAATGATACAAGCCATATACAACAAACCCACAGCCAATATCATACTGAATGGAGAAAAAATTGAAGCATTCATTCCCACTTAGAACTGGAACAAGACAAGGTTGCCCACTATCTCCACTTCTGTTCAACATAGTGCTGTAAGTCCTGGCTACAGCAATCAGACAGGAAAATGGAATTAAAGAAACAATGGTGCTATAGCACCTCTTGTATATTCCTGGATAGAGCTGGAACCCATTCTCCTAAGTGAAGTATCTCAAGAACGGTAAAACCAGCACCACATGTACTCACCAGCAAATTGGTATTAATGGATCAACACCTAAGTGGACATGTAGGAGTAATATTTATCGGGTGTCGGGAGAGTGGGAGGGGGGAGTAGGGGATGGGTATATACAATCAAACGAGTAAGATGTGCAACGTTTGGTGGATGGACACGCTTGAAGCTCTTACTCAATGGGGGGGCCCCCATGGGCAATATATATAACCTTAACATTTGTACCCCCATAATATGCTAAAATAAATAAATAAAAATAACATTTCATAAACACACTTCTTGTGAAGAATAGTATGGTCAATGGTTTCACCTTCTGAGAATATTCTTAGTATATATCCTTCACTTGCAAACAAAGAAGTAGAAAGGTTTTCTATATGTCATAAAGAGGTGAATTCTAACTTGTCTCAATTATTAACAGAATTCAAAGAATGAAGGGAGGAAAAAAGTAACATACCAATTACAGTTTCTTTAAAGAAAATAAGGAAGGGAATTCCAAAATTATGTAATTACAATGGCATGAACACTCAGGAATTTGAGGATTTACTATTCAGCATTCAGGGAAGACAATTTTACAGCTACTTTACCGGAGTCCCAGAAGTGTCCTGAAATCCTTCTCCACATCTGAGCCATGCTTCAGAGAGGGAGGCAGCTGCCCCAGCTGTCCTGAGACCTGCTCTTCTGACCTGCAGGGGCCTGTCTCCTGGAAAGGAGGGGTACTCTGCATCCCAATTCCTTTTTCTCTGTGAAGATGATTTTTCAAGAAAAAACAAAACAAAATCAACCTTATTATATATACATTAAGTTGACAATTAACAATTCGGAAACCCAAGAATGGCAGTAGTAAGCAAAGTATTTGAACATCTCCGAATCTTCACATAAAGATAGAGCAACTAGGTAACAAAACCAAAAACCCATAGATGCCATTTATAATGAATCACCAAACTCCAAAATACAAGTGGGTGAGGACAAACCACTGCCCCTCCAAATTCCTTCGTGGTATCAGTATTTGAGAGCAACAAAGCTGAGGGGAGCAAGGGGACAAGGTGGCACTAGACGCCAGAGCTCCGTGGGAAGCAGAGCAGGCGATCGATCTGAGATCGGTGCCTAGAACTCAGTGAGGGCAAGAGCTCTAACCCTGAGAAGATGCAAAGGGGTGGGAGCAAACTGGGACCCCTGAAACATGTCAGCCAGGACTCCCTTCTGGACAGGGCCCCACATGAGGAGAAAGTGCTAGGAGTGGAATATGCTCAGCAACACAGGGCGAGAGACAAAGAAAAGGTCTAGATGGAGCAGAGCTAAGAAGCATCTATACAACAAATAAATAAGTGGCCATATTTTTGCAAACTACATGAAAACAATACAAGGTAGAAGAGCTATCCCAAATCCACCCTCCTCCTTGCACTTTAGAAAAACTATGATATAAAAATAAGCAACAGAAGAGTATCAAAGCCAATCCATACAGTTATTATTTGGGAGGAAAAAATAAGAAGTGGAATGACATCCCAACATACAAAGAAAGCACACCAAGATACAAAAAACAGATAAAATGGTAAACTACTATTTCAAAATAAGACAAAATATTGAGTTATAAAAGCTTAGAAATGAGGTGACAAACTTAAGAAGTAAAATAAAATTAAAAAATCATTTGATGAAAAAGGGACTAAACCAGAATGAATCTAAGAACAAATAGATCACAGATAATATCTTAAGAATACAAACATTTTACTTATTATCATATTAAATAGAAGGTAAAAGGAAGACATTTTAAAGTTCTGCTACCCACCTCCCATGAAGAAAGACAAAAAGGATTCAAGAGAAAGAGAGTCTGATTAAGTCTCTGTTGGAATCCAACATACAGATTACAGGAATTCCTGAAGAAGAAAACCAAAACAATGGGACACTTATTAAAAACTACAATTCCAGGCCAGGCATGGTGGCTCACGCCTGTATCCTAGCACTCTGGGACACCAAGGCAGGAGGATCGTTTGAGCTCAGGAGTTAGAGACAAGTCAGAGCAAGGCGAGACACCAGTCTGTACTAAAAATAGAAAGAAATTAGCTAGACAACTAAAAATATATATATAAAAAATTAGCCAGGCATGGTGGTGCATGCCTGTAGTCCCAGCTACTCAGGAGGCTGAGGCAGAAGGACAGCTTGAGCCCTGGAGTTGGAGGTTGCTATGAGCTAGGCTGATGCCACAGCACTCTAGCCCCAGCAACAGAATCAGACTCTGTCTAAAAAAAGAAAAAAAAGAAGAAATAGAAAAATTGAACAGACCAATGACAAGTGATTAAATCAATAATCAACCCCCCCCACAAACAATGGTGCAGGACCATATGGCTTCAATAGTGAATTCCACCAAACATTTAAAGAATTAACACCAATCATTCTCAAACTCTTCCTAAAAATGCAAGGAAGTAACACTTCCTCTTTCTGAAACAAGCATACTAAAGCCATATAAACATATCACAACAAAAGTACAGATCAATATCCTTCATGAACATAGATACAAAAATCATCAACAAAAATATCAGTAAACCCAATCCAGCAACACATTAAAAAGATTATATAATGTGATCAAGTGGGAGTTATCCTAGGCACATACAGGTGGTTCAATACATCAAAATCAATCAGTAGAACACATCACATAGAAAAAAGGGGAAAAAATAGAGATAACCTATTGATGCAGAAAAAGCACTAAAAAAAAAAAATCCAACATTCTCTCATGATAAAAACATTTAGCTAGGAATACACGGGAGCTTCTTTAACATGACAAAGGGCTTTTCTGAATGTTTTCCCCCTAGAATCAGAACAAGTTTGCCCATTTTTGTCACTTCAATTGTGCTGGACTGGAAGGTCTAGTCAGAGCAATTAGGCAAGAGAAAAAAATAAAGGCATCCAAATTCTAAAGGAAGAAGTAACCTCTACTTGCAGATGGCATGATCTTACATACAGAAAACTTCAAAGAATCTACCAAAAACTATTAGAGCTAATAAACAAATTCAGCAAAGTTGCAAGGTACAAGATAAACAAGCAACAATCAGTTGTATTTCTATATACTAGCACTGAGTGATCCAAAAAAGAAATTAAGGAAACAATTCAATTTACAGTAGCATCAAGAGTAAAATACTTAGGAACATATTTAACCAGGATGTAAAAGACTTGTACACGGAAAACCACAAAGCACTGCTGAAAGAAATTAAAGAATGGAAGAATATCCTGTGTTCATAGATGTAAGGACACTATTGATAAGATGGCAGTACTACCCAAAAGCTTTCTACAGAGTGAATTTAACTGAATCAAAATCCCAATAACCTTTTTTTACAGAAATGGAAAGATAATCCTAAAATTCACATAAAATTGTAAGGAGCCCCAAACACCCAAAACAATCTGGAAAAGAAAAAACAAAGTTGGAGAACTCACTTCCTTCTTTTAAAATTTACCACAAAGCTACAAGAATCAAAGCAGTATGTTACTGGCCTAACAATAGACTTATTAAATGAAATAGCATTCATAGTCCAGAATTAAACCTATACATCTATGGTCAATTGATTTTTGACAAGATTTTGAAGACTATTCAATAGAGAAAAAATAGTCTTTTCACCTAATTGTGCTGGGACAACTGGATTACACATGCAAAAGAATATAAAACAGCCAGGTGCCATGGCATGTACCTGTAGTTCCAGCTACTCAAGAAGCTGAGGCAGGTGGATCACTTGAGCCCAGGAGCTCGAGACCAGCCTGGGCAACACAGCAAGACCTCATCTCTAAAAACTTAAAAAATCAGTCAGGCATGGTGGCATGTGCCTGTAGTCCCAGCTACTCAGAAAGATGAGCTAGGAGAATCACTTGAGCCCAGGTGTTCAAGGCTGCAACGAGCTAAGATTGTGCCACTGCACTCCAAAGCCTGGGCAACAGAGTGAGACCTCACCTCTTAAAAAAAAAGAAGGAAAGAAAAAGAATATAAGACAAATATTAACTAAAAATGGGTCAAAGATGTAAATGTAACAGATAAAACCAAAAACTCTTAAAAGAAAGCAGGTAAATTTTCAGAACCTTGGATTAGACAATAGTTTTTTAGATATAACAAAAAACAAGTGACCGAAGAAAAACTAGACTTCATCAAAATTTAAAACTTACAAGTTTCAAAGGATACTAGGAAGAAAGTAAAAGACAATTTGAATAATGGGAGAAAATATTTGCATATAATATATCTAATAAGGGTCTAGAATCCAAAATACAGATGCTTCTCCCCTTATGATGGGGTTATATCCAGAAAAACCCAATGTAAGCTGAAAATATTGTAAGTTGAAAATGCATTTAATACACCTAACCTAGCAAACATCATAACTTTGCCTGGCCTACCATAAACATGCTCAGAACACTTACATTAGCCTACAGTTGAGCAAAATCATCTTAACACAAAGCCAATATCTCATGTAATTTATTGAATACTGAAAATTGAAAAACAGAATAGTTGTATAGATAGATACTCAAAGTATAGTTTCCATTTAATGTGTGTTGCTTTGTACCATCATAAAGTCAAAAAACTGTAAGCAGAACCATAAGCTGAGAACCACCTGTAAATCAAGAACTCCTACAACTCAACAAAAAGATGTTTAACATCTCCAACCATTAGGGAAACATGCAAATCAAAACCACAATAATATACCACTTCACACCCATCAGGATGGCTATTATAAAAAAAACCAAAAGAGGCCGGGCACGGTGGCTCAAGCCTGTAATCCTAGCACTCTGGGAGGCCGAGGCGGGTGGATTGCTCGAGGTCAGGAGTTCGAAACCAGCCTGAGCAAGAGCAAGACCCCGTCTCTACTAAAAATAGAAAGAAATTAATTGGCCAACTAATATATATATATAAAATTAGCCGGGCGTGGTGGCGCATGCCTGTAGTCCGAGCTACTCGGGAGGCTGAGGCAGAAGGATTGCTTGAGCCCAGGAGATTGAGGTTGCTGTGAGCTAGGCTGACGCCAGGGCACTCACTCTAGCCTGTGCAACAAAGCGAGACTCTGTCTCAAAAACAAAACAACAACAACAAAAAAAAAAAACCAAAAGATAGAAAATAATGAAAGTATTGGCAACAATGTGTAAAAATTATAACTTTTGTGCATTGCTGGTGGAAAAGTAAAATGTTGCAGTCACTGTGGAAAACAAGTACACAGAGCCTCAAAAGTTAAACAGAATTACCATGTTTCAGCAATGTCACTTCTTAGTATATACTCCAAAAACACTGAAAACAAAGACTCAAACATACCTGTACACCTATGTTCACAGTAGCAATATTCACGATAGCCAAAAGGTAGAAACAACCTAAATACCCATAAATGGAACAAAACAAAATGTGGTGTGTGTGTATAATGAAATATTATTCAGCCTTAAAAAGGAATGAAATTCTAAAACATGTTACAATATAGATGAACCCTGAAAACATTATGCCAAGTAAAATAAGCCAGACACAAAAGGACAAACATTGTACTATTCCACTTATATGAGATCCCTAGAGTAGTCAAATTCACAAAGACAGAAAGTAGAATGGTGGCTGGCAGGTGCTGGGGAGGAAAGAATGGGAAGTTATTGTTTAGTAAGTATGGAGTTTCAATTTGGAATGATAAAAAAGTTCTGAAGATGGATGGTGATGATGGCTGCACAACAATGTTGTCTTACCTTGTTTGGGCTGCCATAACAAAATACCAAAATCAGGGTGACTTATAAACAACAGACA